TTTACAGTAGCAAAGGCAAGTTTCTACGATAGATTTAAATTGGCAAAAAGCCTATTGTCAAGTTCGCCCCGCTGTCGGCTTAGTCTCGGTCTCCCCTACTATAAAGTGTATAATTTTTCGTTACCAATCTTTTTGAAAACCGGTACCAAAATTTTTAAAATTTTTTGAGAATTAATTGACCGAATCTTAAAGAATTGTATATGAAGTAGGGGTAGAATTTCTTGGGGAATGCTATAAATTGTATAATTTTAAAGTGTATAGTTTTTTGTTACCGATTTTCTGGAAACCGGTTCCTCATAGAGGAAGCTTTGTTTTCATAAATTTCGTATATGAACCTTTTATTGCGTATAAAGTTGGGTCTAATCAACTACATTTAAATGAATTATTTATGAAATATAGGGGTAGAAGAAACCAAAGAAAAGATTGGTTTTGAGTTTTTAATTCTAATATGTTCAGATGTATAATTTTTCGTTACCGATCTTTTTGGAAACCGGTATCCGAAATTTTTCCAATTTTTCGGGAAATAATTGACCGAATCTTAAATAATTATATAGGGGTAGAAAAAACTAAAGAATGTAATAGAATTAGAAAAATTGCTGATAGTAAAGGGGTTTCCGATTTCTGTTAAAAAAAATGTATGTGATTGCTCTAATTTTCGCAAACTGAGATATCAAGCTGAATTTTTTTATGGATAATTTTTATGGATAATTTTTTGATACCGATTTTTTGGAAATTGGTATCAGAAATTTTTCCAATTTTTCGGGAAATAATTGACCGAATCTCAAAGAATTATATATGAAACAGGGGTAGAACTTTCCGGAAAGTGCTATAAAGTGTATAATTTTTTGTTGCCGATCTTTTTGGAAGCCGGATACAAAATTATTCAATTTTTCGGGAATTAATTGACTGACTCTTAAAGAATTGTATATAAAGTAAGGGTAGAAAGAACTAAAGAATGTAATAGAATTAGAAAAATTGCTAATAATAAAGGTTTAAAATTTTTGTTTTAAAAAATGTACGTGATTACTCTAATTTTTGCAAATTTTTAGATATCAAGCTAAATTTTTTAAATAATTTTTATTTTTATTTTTATTTTTACTTTTCTGTTACCGATTTTTTGGAAACCGGTTATATAAAAATCGGTTATGAAAACTACTATAAGGAAGACTGGGGCTAAAACGTCTACGGGGTAAATACGTCTAATCAAATATCTCGGAACTTGTATATTGTGCAAACTCGCTATTAACATTGTAAATGCTGCTTATGGTACCCATGTGGCCAACGGAGTTTCAGCAAGTTACCTGCCGTATTATGATTTTTACGAGAGCAAACGTGTTTTCGGAAGGTGAAAGTTACATTTTCTGCGCGTGTAAATTTTGTAATATCTGCAATAATATTTGCTCTCCAAATCTCGAGGTACGTGATTATAAAGAGTAATGCATGCTGAACACGAATCCAGTGTAGTTTTTTCATTATCGTTGATGTCTAATATTTCGTGGGCGATCAAACCTGAAACTTGTGTTTGGGGCTAATCCGTCCGGGTGCATTTTTAAGGCATTTCCAGGCTCACTGCATATGGAATATGGATGAAACGGGAATTACAACCGTTCAGACACCGAATAGTCATCGGACGTCGAGGAGTGAAACAAGTCAGGCGAGTGACTTCTGCGGAAAGAGAAACCCTCGTAACTATTTTTTAATAATGTTTTGCATAAAAATTTTAAATAAATTTTTATATTTTTCTTTTAAAAAACAATTATTAAAATGTATCCTATCATTTATCAGGATTAGATGTACATACGTATATGTATTGAAAATGCAGTGCAGACGGTTATACCTCGGCATTTTTGAGATTTCAATTTTTCCACCGTTTTCATTTTTGCTCTATACCGGTTAAACAAAGCGACGTAGACAAAAATTTCTTATATAAATTTTGTAACTAAAGGTTCACTCTTTACAGTGGTATACCACATTTAACTACAATTATTTATTTTGTTGTTAAAAATCGGCACCAAAAAAAAACGGACGGTTTAGCCCCGGTCTCCCCTAATATAAAACCCGACTGTTTGTCTGTCTGCCCGCAAATTCATTTTAGTCCAGTCAAAATACGGAAAAAAGGGGGAGTACTTAGAAAAAATTGCAACACAAGGTTTTATTACGTCATTGTGTTCAGAAAAATATACTGAACAACATATTCAAATTCCGCCATTTTTCGCTATCCCTAAGTATGTTTTTTATTAACAATTTATAAACAAATTTGTTTTTCTCCACAAATACGATAAATTTTGAAATTTTTGTAGAGATCAAAGTTGTAGAGCAGACAAATATCTACAAAAAATGTTCTTATAAATTTTTTGAAATATCTCATATTATTTGAGATATTTGCAACAAGAGCTACTAGGCTACGCGCGGAGCGGAGCGGAGAGTTCTAACAAGCACACGGCAGTCTCTACCAGTCGCTGCTAGTTCTCTAGGTTCTACAAGGAACTTGAGTTGGTTCTCGATACTAGTATATGTGCCTATGTATACACACACATATATATGGGACAATCCACGTCACTTTTACCCCCCCTCTGTCCCAAATTGGTATGGACAGATTTTAATGACTAAGGGCGGAAAATGTTTGTCTTGAAAAGAGCTTTTGAAAGGCGTGTGGCATATATGCGCAATTCAACATGGCGTCATAGTTATGGCTGCTTAAAGGGATAAATTCAAAATTTCAGATTCAACATGACGCCATGTTGAATTGCGCATGTATGCCACACGCCTTTCGAAAGCTCTTTTCAAGACGAACATTTTCCGCTTTTAGTCATTAAAATCCGTTCATACCAATTTTGGACAGAGGGGGAGGGGGGGTAAAAGTGACGTGGATTGTCCCATATATGTATGTATATATATATATATATGGGGCATTCTTTCTCAAATCGGCCACCCCTCTGCGCATTTTATTTTTGAAGATAAAATGCTTTGCGAGGTCTCAAAATTTTCGTCTGAAACTCAATTTTTGGATGCCGTATGGCGATTTTCATTTACATTCAAGGGTGGGACAGTATGACCAAAATATCGCTCAAACCACCTTAAAAAATAGGAAAGTATGCAAATAACATCTAAAATCTTAGCAGTTTCTATCAAATTCGATGCAACTTTGAAACAAAATGGTTTATAACATCCAATTAAATAGTTTTCAGACGTTACCCCCCATTATAATCAAAATCAACCCTTCAAAACCACTCCTGAATCATTATTTCGACAAATTGACAATTATTCTAAAACAAATAGAGTAATAATAATAAAAATAATAATTATTATTATTTTAATAATAACACAGGACCACAAAAAAAATTTTTCGGAGAGCAACTGGGACCGCAGTAGACGATTTTTATAGATTTTGGATAGCTAAAATCGAAACAAGGCCCCATTTTGCTCTAACACGTCAGGATTTTCAAGAAAGTAAGGTTATGTAGGTGAAAAACAGCGATTTTTGGCGATGTAACAGTGTAATCGACAGTCTGTTACAAAAAAGGTGTGCTAAACAATTTCAACGCGCAAACATGACCTAAAAGAGAAGTTTGCGTGCATGCGGAGTTCGGCTCGAGTCTTCGTGCCGGCCGGACGTGTCTGAGCTTGCTCCCGTACGGTGAGGTTATAGGTTGTCTGTGCGGCCGTCTGTGTTTCCCCGTGGGAACGACTGTGCGTGGTTTACCTCCCCGGTGTCGGATCCGGGTTTTTCGCGGCTCCCCCCTCGGAGGGGGAGCGTTCCTGGCGAGGAGATAGGCGCGACTTGCTTGAGAGTGATATCCCGATTCGTGTGCTCGGTGCGATGTCGACGGAGAACAATTCGTTGTCTCTGGACGAGCAGGCCTTTGACGAGTTTGTGCGAGGTGTTGCTCAGGATTCCCCCCGGCCGGGGAAAACGTGTCGCGGAGTGTTTTCTGCGAAAAGACACAGGGAGGAGAACATGCCCCCCGAGGACATTGTCGCGAAGAAGACGCCTTCTCCGCAGGACGAAGAAATGGAGGAGAGTGACGAGGGGGATCTCCAGGTGGAGTCCTCCGAACACGACGAGGAATCCGGGACGGACGAGGCGCGGTCGGGCGCCACACCGACGATACGTGATGATCAGTTGATGTCACGTGATATGAGTCTTGCGGTCGCTGCCGCTACCGACGATCTAAACAGAGAATATTATATTGTGAAGGACAACACGCTTACGTTGTGTGATCCAAATATTGACGACCATCGCTTCCAGAAGCCTGTGAAATTTGACGATGATTTCCCAGGCAAGGCGATTATTGTTCTTCGTCTGCCTCAGGATCAGACTACGATAAAAAAAGGAAAAAACTTGATAAAAATTTGGATGGTTTTAAATGAATTAACTATAATTCCTGTGTCTGTTACGATGATTAACCATTATTCTGCGGAAGCGTTGTTTAAGGATATCTACGATGCCAACTCAGCCCTCGAAAAGATCAAGTCGCTCAAGAATCCAGTCAAACTCACAGCTAACGTTGAACAGAGAAACGTAATATGTAAGGGAGTTATCTCTGATTGGCCGTCGTCCATACCGGCGTTGTGGGATAATATATGTGATAGGAGCAGAATTGTCAGCTTGGAGAGGATGCTCCGCAGAAAGTGGGACCCTAATAATAATAAAACGACGTATTGTAGCACTGATAACATTATTATCACGTTTAAGGATAGCAATATTAGAAACTTGACGATTTTTACAAGCGGTATTAGTCTTAGAGTGAGACCATTTGTCCAACAGGTGAGACAGTGTTTTAATTGTTATAAGTTCGGCCATACCAAACTTAACTGTAAGAGTGAGACCCGCTGTATTGTCTGCGGTGACAAGGCCCACGGGCAGTGTGACAAGGAGACGCGCTGCTGTAACTGTGGAGGCGCTCACAGGTCTACATATAGAAAATGTCCGGCTTTTGAAAAAAATAGAAATATTAATTTAGTAATGGCTCAGAAGAACATTTCTTTCCACAGTGCCAGAAGGATTGTTGAGGGAGAGGTTCCGCCTTCGGCCAAATTTCAAAATAAATTCTTAGATCAACGTCCGTGGCCTGCTTTGCGCCCGACTTCATCGTACGCGGAGGCTGTGAGAGGGCCCAATCGCCCCCTGCCCACCCCGAGGCAGGGGCCTACACGAGGGGAGACGCGCGCGGCCCCCCGGAACTTTTACAAACCGTTTAACCCCCGCGAAGGTGAAATCACCAAGGACAGGCGGGGTATCCTCCTTGCCAACCGGGAGGCTGACGGAAGCAGAGAATCGAGAGACAATGGCCCGGATGACCCGGCCTCGTTGGAGAAGCAGAGAATTTTGAACTCGGTGGAGATTTTGATTGACATGCTGCGAAGGACCCCTGATATCCGTGCAGTAGTACGACGAGCGTTGGAGCAGGCAAATTTTGGCGGGTCCCCGGGGGAGTCTCCTCCTTTTCCCCCCTCTCAAGGACTATACGGGATGGCCCCTGTTACGGGGGTCGTCCGATCAAGGTACTCTGGACAGCTAGTTAATCAACGATATATATATAGTAATTAAATTCAAGATCTTATTGTGGAATTGTAGAGGATTTCGACCTCACAAGAATGAGTTATCTAAGATTTCAATGGATTATGACATCGCTGTCCTTACCGAGACTCGATGTTCGGCTCATCGCGGGGTATATCTTCCCGGATTCAAGACGCTTAATGGGGATAACGCTCTCGGTAGCGGAGGAGTGGCTGTCGCAGTCCGGTCTCATATTAGATTTGATATCATCAGACTTGGCGGGATGCCTGTGGGATATGATGTGCTGGGGATCAGCACCTCCAATTTGCGGAAAAACTTTAATATCTTTGTAGTATATAGACATCCTAGAACAAACATCGGTCCGCACGACCTCAGGGAAATCATGAAATCTGCTGACGGTAATATGCTTGACTCCATTATCCTCGGAGATTTTAATGCACACAATACAGCATGGAACTGCGCCTCTACTAACGCGAGCGGAGAAACCTTGCATGACCTTATGGCTAATGGTGGCTTTATCTGTGTTAATTTTGACACTATATCACGTATAGGGTACAGTGGCCAGAGGGACTCCAACATCGATCTGTTGTTTGCTGACGGCGACCTGGCGGGTGAAATCGGTTACTCTCAGTTGGAGGAAACGTGCGACAGTGACCACGTGCCCATTGCCTTCTCATTCAACACTGGAGTGCAGGTCTATGAAAAACTCTCCAATAGGATTTCCACTAAGAAGACGGACTGGGGTAAATATCAGGAGGCCGTAGAGAGGAGGATGCGACATCTCTTTGCGGACATCTCGGATCTGGGATCAGATTTCTCTGGCTTCTACCAGTCCTTCGTGCGTGCCGTTAAATCTTCGGTTGAGGAGGCCACGGGTCGACGTGGCCGTGCCTCTGGAGGACGAAAAATATCGCATAAATGGTGGAATGCGGACTGTGAAGCTGCCATTGCCGAGAGACGAAGAGCCTTTCAGGTTTGGAAAAAAACTCGAGATACTCACACCTGGCACTGCTATAAACGCTCATGTGCTGTGGTGAAAAAGACGTTGTGCCGAGCTAAGAAGGAGAATTTCGAAACTTTTTGCCAATCTATAAATAGATTCACCAGCTTACCATACGTATGGAACACGCTGCGGATATTGAAG